GCTCAGCAGTGGGCACTTATAGGCTGATGATGACGCTAGATATTGATGTATTCTGCTTTTGTTTCTAACTTTTTTGATTATATTTTTCGATTACCAAGCGTGCGTTTAAATTGTAAAACCGTTTTCTTTTTAATATTCTATTTTTTTTATGTAATAACTACAATTTAACTGTGATTTAAAACGTGAAAAATAAAGATGTTTTGTCCGCCTCCAAAAAGGTTTTACAAATTCTTGATACTTTTTTGCATTTGTTTTTCAGTTTAGATCGAATCCGTGTAGTATAGGTCCCTATGTAGCGTTTTTTTTTCAAATTGTAGATACGAGAAATATTATTATTGTTATTTTTTTATTTTATATAAAACGTTGCCCCAAACTAGGATTTTCTTCTGTGTCGTCGAACATACGAATTCACATACACATGACACCAAGACCCGAAACAACAAAATGGATCACACAAAGTGTTGTTCCGTGCGGGAATCTTACCCGCGACACGTTGCACGGCAGCCAGTTGCCCAGCCACCGCGCCAACCGTGCAGTCAAGTTAGACTAGGTTTATTACTCTCCAGCCTCGGATTTCCAGCTAAGGTCGATATCCATCATTTACGGTACGTACCGTGTATAGATTCTGAACAGGAGAAGGAACGGGGTGATTTTTAGTCAGTAGGAGCCTGACTCTCTCTCGTCTCAATTCACTGCATGATTATCCCTTTCAAAAATTGCATCTCCAGAAAGAAATAACACTTCGTTGGGACTAACTAAAACACTCGCATTTTAAATTATTAGTATCTAAGGAATAATGTTTGTAGGTTTGTACATTGCTAAGATTAGGTTCCAGTGGGCAGTATGTAGTGGGCTTAGATTACATGCATTTTTTAAAAGAACCTTCATCACGGCTACGAATCTCCTTATCCTCGGCCTTCTTAGATAATTTTATTGATTCTTTCACAAAGTTTTAAAACACTAAAAAAGATTGAAACTTTTTCTATTAACTAGCAACCCACCCCAGCTTCGCACGGATGCAATAAATAAATAAAATAAAAATAAAAAGCCTTTTATTTCTTGCAGTTTAGAACAATGAGAAACTTGATTCTAATTTTTTATGTAGTGACTTAAATGTAGATGTTGTTATTTTCATATACCTATAGCTACATATATAGCTCACTAGTTACTTTCGCGCGGTTTCACCCGCTGCTCAGCTCCATTTAATCGTAGCGTGATGTTTTATAGCACTCAGAGACATTGTAGCTATGTATCAGTGAAAGAATTTTGGCAATCCGACCAGCGGTTCCAAAGATTACCCCTACATACAAACTTACAAATTTTATCTCTTTATAATATTAGTATAGGAGTATAGATCATTACTATTATTTATTACAAGTGAATTTAGTCTGTAAGGTGGTGCCTGCAAAAAAGATATTGTACTGTAAAATCTTTTGCAAAACAATAAAAAAATGGACTGCTTATAAGGATTTGTAAAGGCGCTTTAATATCAAAGAAGTTAAAAGTGAGTTAGACCCTCTCTATTTACCCTCATTTATAAATATAATATGATGCAAAATGGTTGACTGTTTCTGAACACCCCTTAGGGACCATTATAGTTTCTGGGGGCAATCAAAGTCATTAGATGAGGCAAAGGGGAAGAGACTCCTTTACGATCATTGTTCGTTCGATTCGATTCGATTCGATCATCGTTCTCTCACATTATGTTATTTTACATTGTCTGGACTTGAAAAGACCTGAAAAAACCTCTGAGTTTGTTTCGGCATTTCTTCTCAGAGTAGTCAGATAGGAAATGCCGGCTTCATCTAGTTCTTCACATATAATTTGACGTGTAAAAGTGCCGTTTTATGGCCTATTTGCAAAAATAAATTCGTTGTTTCATTGATCTCAAATAAACAGCTGACGGAATATTTAAAACTGGCTACTCTCACACAGTTTCACCCGTAGCTCGGCTCTTACAGATCGTAGCGAGATCTTTTATAGCCTAAAGACTTTCTTAATAAATGGTCTATTAAACACAAAAATATTTTTTCATTTCGAACCAGTAGTTCCTGAGGTTACCGCGTTCAAACAAACAAACAAACTCTTCATAACTCAAGTATTACTATACATAAGCTACTGCCAATGACTTCGCCTGTAGCTCTAGGCAAAAAAGCCTACCTATGTCGTAATCTAGACTGTCATCTATCATTGTGCTCAATTTAATTTAGATCCGTCCAGTAGTTTTTGAGTTTTTGCCTGAAAGAGTAATTAATAAACATAGATAGTGTCTGAAATATTGACTTTGTGGTGGCCCTGAGGTTAGGTATTCCACTTCTGATGCATGAGGATGCGGTCCGAAACCATTTTTGTATAAAAAACCTATAAAAAATCAATAGTATGTAAAAAAAATAACGCTGCTATATTTTATTATGGGCTGATTTTTCAATATTTAGATAAATGTTGTCGAAGGAATAAAATTTTTGCTGTCACTGTCTTATACAAATATTCTGACGCGACACCATCATAATTATTCTGCAGCTAACTTAAATCTAATCATTGAAAAATCAGTCCTAAAACTATGTTTTAGTTGGCCGCATATTGTAAAGATTCTTATAAACCTAAGTAGGTTTAATATTACCTAACAATCATACAAATTTCACCCGATAATTAGTGTACAAAGGGCTGATTTTTCAATAGTAAGATAAAAGTTATCTGGGGAATAATAATAATAATGCTGTCGCGTCACAATGTTTGTTTAAGACAGTGACAGCAACAATTTTATTCCTCAGGTAACATTTATAAATCTGACTATTGAAAAATCAGCAACTACGAAATAGTACCTAATTACATAAAATTTTTATTAAAATTATCTCATATTTATTAAGTACCTGAGTCAGTATTCAGAAGAATCTGTTTTGATATAAAAAAACAATATTTTAATTTACCGCCAAATTAACATTTAGGTATAGTCTATGGTAAGGCTCACAGATGTCAGGAAGAAAATAGCCATTGTTAACTAGTAAAGGGAGAAATATTTTTAATTTATTAATAAGTAATTGCGAACACGTAAAACAATCTGTTATAATTAATTATAATTGCATTATTTTAGAATACAACACTATATCTACAATGGAGGGCACGAAAATAAAACTAAAACATAGCTATTGTTAAATTAAAATGTATTAACAAAACAAATGAGAAAAATGCGACGTGCGTAACAAAATAACAAAGGAAAAAAAAAACACAAAATCCTTAGTCAGCATTTTATTAAAAATAAAATTAAATGTATTAGTAAAAATCAATATTAAAACACAAAAAAATAAAACCTAGAATATAGATACTTACGTTATGGTTTAACTGTCACAGAGCACTCAAGAATCATCACTTTTATTTTTAATTTAGAAACAAAACACAAAATAGATATCGAACGCGAAAAATAAAACTATAAAAATATTACAATGTAGGTACGTACGTCCTCCTTGAATCTCTCACTCGCGTCAAGCGTTCAATTTCAAAACGTTAACATTATTAATAAAAGCAACGAAACAAACTAAACAAAACGAATTATTTCAACTGTTTTATTCATTAAATATAACTCCAATTTTTTACCGCGGTATTTTTTGTGCGTTTATCACTAGAAATAGATAAAATGTCGCGTCACTCGCGTCCGCTTCGGCCCGTGATCGGGCGGGTACTAGCCAGAAGTTGCCAGATGCATAATTTATATTTACCAAGGTGTATCGACTAGATATTTTATTTTCGGAAATATAGTAGGTACCTATGTCTTAATTGTTTTTTTTATGTAGTGCATTATCTTAAATTAGGTAAAGCTTTGCTAATCTTAGTTTATTTATATAAGTGTGGTAGAGTTATGCTTCTACGAATGGGCCGGCTCGGCCGACCGTAGTGACACCACGGCCTCACAGTAAAGCTTCGTGAAGCATCACTTACGTTGTTTTGCCGTGTGAGTGATGTTTCTTTCTCCCATCCTCAATCCTCAACTCCTCTAATCCTAACGACCCACAAGAGGCCGGCAACGTACATGTAGTAACGCCTTTGATATTACGAACGCCCATGGGCGGTGCTAATTGCTTACCATCAGGTCGGCAGTCACTCGTTTTATCAATAACTTAGGTTTTAGAATACTTTACTTTTAATGAACTTATTTAGAAACAATAATAAGATGTGATAATCTTTTCAAAACTAAAGAAAATCAAAATGATTTTAATTTATTAATTATTTTATGAGGTATCTGTAATATATCTTTTTATCGTCAATCAATGTTTAATTTAAAATTTACCACTTTAAAATATTGCCTAATCTTGAAATCATTGTACTGTGTTCTCTACAGTTTTATAGATCATGATTAAGACGAAAAATTGTTTTCATTTATCAAAAAAAAACTGTGGTTGACAATATAACATTACAATTCCATCATCTCTTTATAATTTCTTTTCAATTCATCTAATCATTTTCATACTTACGCTATTCGAATTGTCATTTACATTTTCCAGGTATTTCCACGAAACTGGGGAAAGTTTTTAGACAGGCAACACAGGGGCTGCTCCTCGCCGCCATTAACGTTATCGATGTCCCACAGATTATAGCTCAAAACAGGGATACTTTCGTTTAGTTTTCGCCTCGAAACAATGTCATTGATAAAAATGGATACTTAGTAATCAGATTTTGAGATTTATTTTCCTGATTGATGTTTAATTACACGTTGTGATCCTCGCTGCTGTAGTTTAAGTCCCAATACATAATTTCTCAAGGAGTCTCGCGTTTATGCGTCAGACTTCACGTAATACTTACGGATTATTAGTACATAGTTAACGAGTATTTAACATACGAAAAAAAAGAATCCTGCCTATTATAAGATGTAAGGTGCTGTGGGGTATCGTGGATTATACATTACTAGCACAACAACCAATGATTTTAGTTTCCATATTACGTCATTAACCATTTGACTGATTTATTTTCTTACCTGTCAAGCTAGAGGTTAAAAAAAAGAACACTTGTCAAAAATAAAATGCGAAAATAAAATCTTTATTAAAATTAATATTAAAGGAATGCTATAAACGATGATCACGACGTATTGAATTTCGATTATTACGACTGGCCGTCCTGGGGAAAATTGTAAAAACGACATTTTGAAAAAACAAAACGAAACTGGCGCCCAACGTGGGACAACTTTTTTTTCGTAGCAAAAAATACTGAAGCTTTTTACAATAAGTAAATATTTGTTTAAGGGCTGATTTTTCAATATTCTGAAAAATTTTACCTATCTGAGGAATAAAATTGTTGCTGTCACTGTCTTATACAAACATTGTGACGCGACAGCATCATAATTATTCCGCACATAACTTTTATCAAACCTTTGAAAAATCAGCCTTTAATATATAATTATTTTATATTTTTATTTTATTTTATTTATTTTGAGGAACAGCAAACAGATACATTATAAAGACTTACAACTAGTTTAACAATTTTGTGATGTGGTCATAATGTAACCCACAACGCTGTCCACAGGTAGACATACAAATTTAAAAAAAAACGAGTTATAAACGCTAGGAACATTGATAGCAGTGCGCGTAACAAATAGTTAGAATGTTTAAAGATACTAGACAGATAGTGGAAGAAATTACTGTAATAAAGTAGTTTGAGTATTAAATAGGGAACTGAGAAGGAGGCTTTTGAACTTATTTATGTTGCAATTAAATATATCTATGTCAACAAAGGTAACGTTATATGTGTCAACCATACGGCGGATAGGTGAACGCAGGCCTGAATTAGTTCGACAGGTGTTCAGTGCAAAAAGGGTACCTGCGCGTACCTGTCGCCTATGGATGGTTCTGGGTACAGCATAGCAGATCATGTTGTTCAGGTTTGTACAGTTAAATTTGTTTCTGACTATATTGTATAAGACTGTCGCTTCAAGGTACTTCCTTCGAGAGCTAAGGGGAAGAAGCTTATATTTACTGAGTAAAACAGGGTACGGTAGGTAAGATTTATGACATCTGTAATGCATAGCACGCAAGAATTTGTACTGAACATTCTCCACCATTTCATCATATTTTTTGTAGAAAGGATTCCATGCCGAAACTGCATACTCCAGTTGTGAACGAACAAGGGCTTTAAACAAACATAAATACGATGTGGTTTTTTTAAAGTCATGGGTGGACCGCATGATAAATCCGAAAAGTTGGAAAGCTTTGCTGACTATTTTGTTAATGTGTGAGTCTAGGCATAGTTTGGTGTCAAGTATAACACCGAGATCGCGAACTGAATTTAGTTGAGATAAAGGCTCATGACAAAGGGTGTAGGTGTACTTAATTATGTGTTTGTTTTTAGTAAATGTGAGAAAGTTGCATTTCGGTAGACTAAGCTTGAGTTTATTTTTATGGCAGTAGTCAGTTAGTCGGTCCAGGTCTTGTTGAAATAAAATGGAGTCGTTAACAGTTTTTATGGGTTTGTAGATCTTCAGATCGTCGGCGTACATTAAAAACTTTGTGTGACGAAAACAGTCACCAATATCATTAACGAATACGTTAAATAATAATGGCCCAAGGATAGAGCCTTGTGGGACGCCCGATGTAACCTCGATCACCCTTGAGCTGTATCCATTGATTACTACTCTTTGACAACGGTTCAAGATATAAGAGGCAAACCACCGTAACAAATTGCCTCGAATCCCATTGAAAGCTATTTTATTAAGCAGCAGCTCGTGATCCACTTTGTCAAAGGCCTTGCAAAAGTCTGTATATACAGCGTCTATTTGCAGTCCGTTGTCCAAACTGTCAAATAAAAAACTAATGAAAGACAGGAGGTTCGTAGTGGTAGATCGCTGTTTAACGAAGCCGTGTTGCTGTTGTATAATGACATTGTGTAGAACAGGATACACTTCATTGTGGACAAGTTTTTCAAAAACCTTTGACAAAGTGGACAGAAGTGAGATTGGGCGGTAATTCTCCACGTTACCCCTTGAGCCACCCTTGTGCACAGGTGTGATGTTTGCACGTTTCCACTCTTTTGGAAATACTCCCTCAGTTATGCACTTATTATAGATTATAGCTAATGGTTTACAGATGTGAGCGGCAGTGCGGCGTAGAAAATATGCAGGTATGCCGTCAGGTCCTGAACTTTTAGCAGGGTCCAGTGATCTTAGCTCTCTTAGGATTTTTTCTTCATTAAAGCATAAGGTAGACATTATATCACAAGCTGAGGAAGTTTCCGTGGGTGGTTGCCATTGCGATAGGAGTGGTGAGGCGGGTTCGTAAACAGAGTGGAAGAAATTCGAAAAGACATCGCAGATAACTTCAGGTTCAGTGGCTGTGGTGTCTTTGTAATGTACTTTTGCTGGAATGCACGGTTTGTCTTTTTTGTTTGACACATATGTCCAGAAGTGTTTGACATTTGTGTGTAGGCTGTCTTCCACCGAACTTATGTACTTAGAGAAGCATTTACCGCACATTTCTTTGAAGTTGGCTCTATGTGTAGTGAATGTTTCATAATCCGATATGTTTCCATACTTCTTCCATTTGGTCCAGGCTTTTTTTTTCTTTTTAAGTGTGTTTATTAAAGGTCGTGAGAACCAGATTGGATAATTGGAGGATTTAGAACATGCTAGTGGAGTATGGGAGCTGATGATCTGATCTAGTTTATTATAGAACAACGTCAACGCTTCTTCAGATTTCTCGTGTGTAAGAAGTTCAGGCCAATCAGTTTTCTGTATCAAATCGTTAATATTTTCATAGTCTGCTTTATAAAAATTGTATTTTTTAAGCGGTTGCCTATCGAGGGGAGGATCTTTAATTTTAATATTTATATCGCAAACGAATGGAGGGTGATAAATGTCAACAGCAAGCAAGGGAGGTGATTCTAATTGCACACTACAAGGAGCATTGGAAATTAATAGGTCTAGTATTTTACCTTTAGAGTTAAGTGTATAGTTATACTGAGAGGCACTTAGTAGAGACATAAAGTTATTAAGATGGTCGCAGGATGGAGTTGAACTGGAGCATAAACGGGAATTAATAGGAGTATTCGAGGTAGGAGGCATGTGCCATGTTGCTTCTGGAAGATTATAATCTCCGGCTACATAAAACATATCGACATTAGGATTACATAGGGCTTCATAGAGTGTTTCAAAGTGCTTTTCATACACAGACGGGGGAGTTTTAGGGGGTATGTATGCAGCTGCCACGACGTGATACTTGGATTTTTGCCCACTGGGTATTTCCACAGCAACCTGTTCTATGTAGCTATGCAGAGGAATCACATTGGCAAAAGTGTTTAAGTCTATTTCAATGGGTTGGAGATTTTTTAAGATTGCCACTAGGACACCGCCGCCATCCCGTCTATTCGTGCTAGCCCGATCGCGATCACACCTGTACACAACGTAACGCTGGTCAATGAACTCATTGTTACTGATTTCCGGCACTAGCCATGTTTCTGTCAGTATGATGATGTCGTATGTTCTCGTGAGAATATTCATATACAGAGCCTGCAATTTCGTACGGATGCCCCTACAGTTTTGGTAATAAATAGTTAATTTTTTATTAATCACTGGTAATGGTAGGATATGCATAAGTATAAACATTGCGCGCCAATACAGATAGGATGCCAAGAGAGTAGATGTTAAACAAGGTCGGTGAAAAATATAACATTAAAATATTAAAAGAATGTTTTCTCAAGAAACAGTAAAGCAAGCTTACATCCGTAACACAAAGTAAGTTAGTTTTATAATAAAAGCACTGTTTTGACAATACTAAAGCTGCAACTTGAGTGTTAGGAAAATATAAATATAATGTGTTAACCTGTGTGAAGAGTAAACACAATCCGTTTGCTAAACAGATAAGACATAGAGGGTACAATAAAATTAGAATTATTTTATAAAATGATAACCTCCTTGACCGAAGTACATGCAGTAAAACTGAATTAAGAATAAAACAATCAGCGCCAAACAAAAGCGAACGACTAAAATAAATGCTATGCTTATTAATACAGGAAACAATAAAATTGAGATCAAAAGGACTAAGTATAATTACATGATAGGACGTATGAGAATGGTTACAGAACAGTATTTTGAGTAGTGACCGTGGCGGTTTTGACTCTGCTTGTAATTTTCCGTATATCATCCAGAGTGCGGACCGCAAACGAAGCCGTGCCATCACGTTCACGTACCAGTATTGTTGAGTTTCTAATCCAAACATATTTAAAATCGTGTTGTTTAGCGGCTTCCTTACATGTCCGAAACAACTGCTTTGTTTTCAGGGTAAGATGTTCGTTTAGGTATATTCTAGCTGGTGACCCAGTAATACCAATTTGATCGGACTTGAGTTCCTTGGCCAGGCGGTATGCGCTGAGGAAGTTGTCGCGTGTTATGCGTGTAGAGAATTTGACAATTATATTCTTCGGTCTGTTGCTGGTGTGCTGGGCGTGTTGTACTCGGTGGATAGAAATTATATCCTTCTGTTGAATTGCGAACTTGACGGCAGCACCCATTTGTTCCATCATGCGAATTAGGTCCTCTCCGCGTCTTTCAGGGACATTGGAAATTTCAATATTGCAGTTTCTAGCTTGCTGCTCCAAAGAGTCAATTTTTTGTTCAAGGGTTCTGACTATGCTTTGAGTCTGTTCGGAACTATGACGAGTGATGTTCTCAACTCGGTCGCGGAGGTCATTATTCTCAGCAGCCTGAAACTGCACTGACGATTTTAATTCAGAAACGTCGTGTGCCACTGTACTGACATGTTCCTTTAATTTATCTTGTTCGCTGCGGAGAGAGACCATTTCCTGTTTCATGTCAGTTATACTGTGCTGGAAGTTCTCCTTCATCTCAGCTATGCTGATCATCATTTCTTCACGCCAGCAATGCAAAGTTGTCTTGATATCGTTTGTGAACTTGGCTATTTTATGATCCATGTCGGAACTCCAGTCTTTGAGAGTTTTATTGAGTTCTTGAGATATTATGCCAACGCTGTCGATTCCGGGTGAGTTAGACGCAGTCCCGGTGACAATAGTTGATGGTGTGCTTGATGAAGGGTTCGGTGACCCAGATAGCTGTTCTAAGTTGTCACAGGACATGTTTATCGCGTCTTCGTAGTTTGCAGGGATGTACACGG